GAGGCCCAACCACATACTGAATTCAAGGCCATCCTGAACTGTACAGAGAGATCCTGTCTCAAAACAGAAGAAAACAAGGGGCCAGGGATATAGCTCAGTGGAATAAGCATCTGTGTGGCAAGATCAAGGTCCTGAGTTTGATCCCCGGTACAAAAAAAAAAAAAAAAAAAAAAAAAAAAACAGAAAATGTATTGATCAGCCACTTCATAGAATGTCCTTCACTTTGGAATTTGTCTGATGTTTTCCTCATAGCCATCTTGAAGTTATGGTTATTTGGTTTTGGTTTGTGGCTCTAGGGATGGAACCCAGGGCCTCACACACTGGAGACAAGCACTCTGTCACTGAGCTACATCCTCATACCTTTTTGAGAAAGAGTTTCACTAAATTGCTCAAACTGGTCTTGCATTTTGACCCTCCTGCCTCAGCCTGTGAAGAAGCCAGGGTCACAAGCATGTGCTACCATACCTGGTGGCTTATGGGTATTTGGGAAGAGAACCATAAAGGTACCCTTCCCATCCTATTGTCTCAGTGGGACTCCCTAACCCTCTCATGTCATTCTAGATCCCCTGCCTGAGGGAAATGTGTGAGAGCTGCTTTACTTTGAAATTTATCCCCACTTCTGTCCTCCTCTCTTTGGAAGCAAAACACTACATGCAGCCTACACTCGGGAAACGTGTGTGGGAGGCAGGAGCTACATAAAGTCTTTGGAATTCTCCTGTAAGAAATTTCTCTCACGAGACCAGGCGTGGTGGTGCACGTCTGTAATCCCAGTGCTGGGGAGGCTGAAAATAAGAGGATCACTATGAGTCCAAGCTGTGTAGTGAGACCCTGTGCCAAATATATTTAAAAAAAGAAATTTCTTTCACATTGATTTACGCATTGATTTATGCAGTCAACATTTCTATCAGTTTGGACTTCTTAGGTATTTATTTTATAACTGGAGTGTAATTTATTTTGTTACTTGATATGTCTGTTTTGCCTATTGGGAACTCTCCTTCAGGCTCCTCTGTCCCTTTGACATGCTACCATCGTCTCATTTATGTGTAGCACTTCCTTACCTCCTAACAGTACAAGTCTCTTCAAGTTCATCCTGTGTCGGTCCTGCCGCAATCTCACTATCAGCCATTTTTGCAAAGTCTGGTCCATTTTTGGAGGTGGTATTAGAAACCTAGATCTTGGGGCTGAGTGTGCTTATTGCTATTGGGCTGTTACTTCATGGCTTTCTGAGCTGACAGAGCTAGACAACATGTGTGTGCATGCTTATCCATGTACATGTACCTGTCCCCTATTATATCTTATAACAGGTAGCTATTTACTTATGAAAGTGCAATTCTGCCAGGTGTGATGGTATATACCACACAGTAATCCCAGCTACTCAGGAGGTTGAGGCAGGAGGTAGCAAGTTCAAGTCTAGCAGGGGCAACCTAGCAAGATCCTGTCTCAAAAATAAGGGGAGCCGGGGCTGGGGAGATTGCTCAGTGGAATAAGTGCTTGCCTGGCAAGCACAAGGTCTTGGGTTTGATCCCTAGTATCACCAAAAAAATTAAATAAATAAAAATGAAGTAAATAAAAAATAAAGAGAGCAGGACTTGAGATTTAACCCAGCCGCACAGCATCTGCCTGGCAAGTGCAAGGTCCTGAGTTTGATTCCCATACAAAGCGGGAGGAGGGGTGGCGGCGGAGGGGAATGTAGCTTTGTACTCTAGGTTCAATCCCTTGTACTGTACACACATGCATATACAAAGTGGGATTGTTTTATATGTGTAGATCTTGTGTCCCCAACCTAGGCTGAGGTTCAGAGAGTTCAGGTAACATGCACAGGTAACAGCCCCAGAGGAAGGTTTGAAACCCCAAGAAGTCTCACTGTGCTGCCTCCTTGGGACTGGATGATTGTAACCATGCCTACCTAGCCTTCAGGAGGAGTCACTCTGATGGTGCAGCATGGAGCGGCCACCTGGGCCACAGGTAGTTCAAGAAGCTGAGCGACTGCCAGAACAAGTGTTGCCCAGTCATGATAAATGATAAATGATGGGACAGGCTGTAATTCACAGTGGTGTGTCTCAGATGGCTGGCCCAGAGGCACCCAGGATAGATGCCTCCTGAAGCTGGACTCCAGTTGGGGCCAGAACCAGGCCACCTGGGAAGAAGCCACGTGAAAAGGGATCTGATGGTAGTGACTGCCTGCCAGCTGCTAGTGGAGGCCATGGGTGATGCACTGGGGGAAGTAGAATCTCCCCAGCTCTGCCTGCCTCTGCCAGGCCCAGGCTCTCCCCCTACCCTTTCCATCAGCTGGGATTGCATCCCTAGGGCCAGGCTTTGGTATGTCCCCAGACCCTTTCCAAGCACTCAGCTCTACAGCTAGGCTGGTGCATCCCTTAGGCTCTTCTACTCTCAGGCCTCAGCCAGCCCAGGGTTCCTATCTCTGTCTGTCCCTGGCTGCATGCCTGACTCCCTCACTTAACAGAGGCAAGAGCAACTTAACAGAGGCTTGGCTACTCTATGCCCCACAGAGCCAGGTCCCCTCTGCCAAGGGAGAAGATATTGGTGTGTTTGATGGGTAGTCCCTGAAATTCTGGACAGAAACCTGTGAGGAAGGCAAGGGAGATTCCTAGGGGAATAGGAATGGGGGAGGGGGGGAACAGCTGGCAGCAGCCCCATAGCCTCTCTTTGGGGAAGGAGAGGAGACTGATGAGAAAAATTCTGAAATCCACATTCCAGGCAGCTCCAGCTGCCCTGTTTGCTAATCTTTCTTGGGAGCCTGGCCCAGGCCACCCACACTCCATCATAGCTCATCAGCCACCACAGATGACAGAGACCTCTCCAAAGTCTTTCCCTATAGGGCCAAAGGGTAGGTGATCCAGTGATCACCTCCAGAAGCCGTTCTGATCCCTGGACCCAGGAGAAGCTGAGGTTCTCAGAAAGTTAGGCCCAAGAGCCAGTGCCTGACTTCCAGTCCTCCTCCTGCACACCTCAGCCAAATCACTGTGAGCCTCCGGGAGCAAGTGGCTGAGGATCACAGCGGCACAGCACAGCCTGCGCTGCTGCTGCCGCCACTGCTGGTGTGATCTCCCAGGGAAGGCACCACCCTTGCACAGCAGGCAGGACTTTGTGGGACTCTTGGGACACTCGCAGCCTCCAGTGCCCTCCATCAGTCCATGTGTTGAGAAGCTGTCCCAGAGGGGCCTCACACAGTCTTCCCCAAAATTCCCAAAGATGCCCTGCCTAGGAAGAGGTTTCCATGTTAGGATAGTACTTGAGAACTGACTCTAAGGGTGGGCAGGAGCTCCAGCAGCAGGAGAGGACATCAGTGAGGCCACTCTGGTGTCTGCCTGCAACCTGCTGTGTGCCAAGGGAGCAAGGGTTGAATCTATTTATTCCCTGCTGTTTCTCCAAAGGAAGGGAAGCAGTCACAAAACCAAGAAGCCTAGCTGGGCACAATGATGGCAAATGCTTACAAACTCACTTACAGGGGAGGTTGAGGCAAAAGGGTTGAAAGTTTGAGGCCAGCCTGGGCAATTTAGCAAGGTCCTGTACTCAAAACCAAAACAAACAGACACACAAAACCACAAGTCTGAAAATTTTAAAAGTCCAGAAGTGTTAAAACTAGTGTAAGAGGGTAAATAGAGTAAAGGGAAACATGCCAGGCACGTGGTGCACACCAGTAACCCCAGCACTGGGGAGGTTGGGCCAGCAGGATCACCTGGAGTTCCAGGCCAGCCTGGACTACAAAGTTGAGTTCAAGGCCAGCCTGAACTGAACAGCGAAACAACCAACAAAACAATTGAGCAAAACCAACCAATCCCCACCCCCCCAAAAAAAACCCCACAAAATTTCCCTCAGCGCAGAAACAGACCCCTGTACATTTCATTCTGCACCTGGGTAAGGGCACAGACATGGGGCAACATACAGGGGCAGGTGAGATCCTACGGGAAGGAGGTCTCCCACCAGCTCCACCAGGGAGAGGGCGTTGAAGGCTGGGAATCTGGTTTGGAGGTTGCATTCTTTTTAGGGAAGCTACAAATGAAGACCCCCCTACAGGAAACAGTCTTAGCAGCAAGGGAGGTGGTGTTGCTGATTTTTGGATTTTTCTATATTTATTCACCTTCAGCCTTGCTGAGGCAGAGACCTGAGGCTGAGCTGCTGTGTGACTCAGTGTGTGCCAGACTCCGTCCCTATTGCTAGCCCCTCCCCTCTTCTTCAAGACAGTCCTTTGAGATACTCCGTGGGACCATTTACCTTTGTGGGTGGGTGGCAGGTGTCAGAGGCCTCAGGGGAGATGGCAAGGCCAGCAGAGGGCCTGGGACCTCCATGCCCTTCTAACCATGGTGATCTTCTCCAGCCTCAGTTCCTCTCTCCAATGGAGGCAACCAGGTTGAGGCAAAGTTTAGAAAAGGGTCTGGCACCTAGTAGGTTCTCACAAAACATAGAGGCCCTTGAAGTTAGGTGTCTGCCTTTGATGGGTGCAGAGCAAGGACCCAGCGCAGTGCGGTTATTGGCAAGGTCACACAGATAAGACCCGGTATGACTCCGGGCGGCCTGACTCCAGGGGTCAGGGCTTGTCTAGAGCCAGTTTGTAAGAGTGGCGTTCGGAGAAGCAGACGCAGAGGTAGGCAGTAAAGGGCTTCTGTTCCGGATCGGTGAGAAGAGTGTGGGTCGCGGTGGATGATTAGGCCCCACGGCTCCCCGCCCTCCTCTCACCTTCCCGCGACCCTTCCCGGGAGGGGCGTCGGGGACAGAGGAGGTGGGAGGGACGGGCGGGCGGTTACCTCATCACCGCCTCCGGGAGGGAGGCCGGTCTGGCTCGCTCGCGCCGGCGGCTGGGGCCGGCGGCGACTCCCCGCGCGGGAGTGAGAAGGACGGAAGGACCCAGGTGCTGAGAGGCCGCGCGGTGAGGGGCCCGCGCCGAGAGGAGGCCGGACCTCGCGGGCCCGCGCTGCCGCCGGCGCCTCGGAGCGCGCTGTGGGCGGGGGCGGTGTCTGCGCGCGGCGCGCCGGGTCTGTTCTTTCCCGAGCTTCGGCACTCGCCGGAGCTGCCGAAGCGTCCGCCACCGTCTGCCCGCTGTGTTGTCTGACTGCCCTCCCGCCGCCAGTTCCGTCTTCGGGCCTGGTCTCTGCCTGCCTCGGGTGCTCGGGTGGGGGACGACGAGCGCGGCGGGGTCCCAGCGCACTGGGCAGAGCGCCCGGGACGCACGGTCGGAGCGCACGGTGCGGCGCCGGCCCATGAGTCTAACCGGCGCGAGCCGGCCATGGGGGGCAGCCTGCGGGTGGCTGTTCTGGGCGCCCCAGGAGTGGGCAAGACGGCCATCATCCGCCAGTTCCTGTTCGGTGACTATCCCGAGCGCCACCAGCCCACGGGCGGGACCCGCCTCTACCGTCCAGCGGTGCTGCTCGACGGCGCTGTCTACGACCTGAGCATCCGCGACGGCGAAGGCGACATCGCTGGTCCTGGCCCTGGAGGTCTGGAGGTAGAGGTTCGAGGGGCGGGCTGTAGCTGGTGCCCTGTGAGGAGTCTGTGTGTGCCTGGCGCACTTGTGCGTGTCCACGTGGACAGCCGCATGCCGCCCAAGGCCGGGGTTTGAAGAAACAGTGTGTGTGTGCTGGTTATTCGTGCGTTTGAATCCTCGAAGCCGGCCTGGAGATTCCCAAGCCCAGGATAAACCGGACGATTTTGTTAAGCGGCTGTTTCTTGTTCGGTGGGTGCTTTTGTCTTTTTTGCCTGCCTCCGCTGGTCTGTTTGGGTCACCGCATGGTGCAGCAAGATGATGTGGGCTTGAGGATGCAGCTTGTGTTTGGTACTAGAGCAGAGCCACTGTGGGAGAGAGGGGAGTCTGGGAAAGGGATGGACTTTCTAGAGGTGAAGATTTATTTAGGAGGTTGTGCAGAATCCAGGACCAACCTCTAATCTTTGTAGCTGGATGCTTCCCCAGAGATTTAGAGGAAAAAGCAGGATTAATTAGGGCTTTTTGTAGGGTGTGGCATTGGATCTGAACACACAAGGATGAGCGAGTGTTGAATAAAAGAAGTGATGTAAGCATCCAAGGTGGAGGGAGAGACCTGCACAGGCACAGCTGCCCATGGTCTGTGATCCCAGGACGCTGATGGAAGGCAGGAGCTCCTGGCCAAGGACTTGGGAGCCATTCTAGAGGTGGCAGTGGTAACTAGCAAGGGAAGCTAGGGCGAGTTGAACTGGGGAAAGGGGGAAGGAGCAAGAGGCAGATGGGGTCGGGGGTAGTGAGAAGGAGGATGGAGGGCTGCTGGCTGACAGGCTCCAGGCACATTTTATCCTGGTGGCCATGGTAAGACTGTGAGACTCAGGGGACGTGGGCATGGAGTGACTAAGGCCTGAGGATAAACTGGGTACTTGATTTTTTGAGAAGGGGTCTCATTCTGCAGTTCAGGATGGCCTTGAATTTACCTTGAACTTGTAATCCTCCTGCTTCAGCCTTCTGAATGCTGGGATTACAGGTATGCTTCACCATGCCCAGCTGAACTTTGTGTTTAGTGCCAAACTCTTGTAAAGGGTTTGAGTCTAGGAGAGTTAAAGGCTTGCCTCAAACCGCAGCCTCCCACCTCCAGGAGCCGCCTGACCCTAAGGACTGGAGCTTGCAGGATACCGACGCCTTCGTGCTTGTCTACGATATCTGCAGCCCGGACAGTTTTGATTATGTGAAGGCCTTGAGGCAGCGCATCGCGGAGACCAGGTGGGGCCGCGGCAGGGGGTGATGGTGGGGAACTGTTGGTGGTTTGGGTGGGCCTTTGCCAGACGGGAGCGAGACTGCCTCCTTCGCAGGCCAGGTTTTGGATCAGGGCTTTCTTTGTTCATGGAAAGGTCTCCAATTGTCTTTGACCCACATGGGTCTGGGGCTACTTACGGCGGGGGGGAGTTGTATCTGGATGTAGGAAATGCACCTGCGTGTATATATTCACGGGGGAAGGAATCTCCGGCCCTTGAGTCCGCGTCCCCCGCATCGAGTCTCTCACCCTATCCGGCCCCCAGGCCGGCGGGCGCACCCGAAGCTCCTATCCTCGTGGTAGGCAACAAGCGAGATCGGCAGCGGCTGCGCTTCGGACCTCGGCGAGCGCTGGCCACCTTGGTGCGCAGAGGCTGGCGCTGTGGCTACCTCGAGTGCTCTGCCAAGTACAACTGGCACGTGCTACGTCTCTTCCGCGAGCTTCTGCGCTGTGCCCTGGTGCGCGCACGCCCTGCGCACCCAGCCTTACGCCTGCAGGGGGCGCTGCACCCAGCGCGCTGCAGCCTCATGTGACTGCTGAGCTTCACCAGGATTGTACAAGGAAATAAATTTTCTCCCTGACTGGATAAGGAACGCTTCCCAGGCCTTTCTTTGAACTTCATTGAACACAGCCCAGTCCCACACCGAAATGGACAAAAGATAACACTTTTCTGGGATCTCATCAGGTCAGTCCTACTGGATGGAAAAGGCTTGGCTATGAATCCGACTGGAAGCTGATTGCCTCTGGCACTTGATTGGACAATTCTAAGCCACGCCTCTTGCGAGGTAATAAACAATTTATGTACACTTGGGATTTGTGTTCTGGAATGGACAAGATGGCCTTAACCGTAAGAGACAGAGCTGCCAGACTTGGTTCCCTTGTAGTTAATAAGCCCAACTTGTAAGGGAATGGTCAAAAAAATATGTAATGGCCCCAAGGCTGAGCCCCCAAGAAACAGACAGGTGGCTGGAGCAAAACTTTACTGTTAAAGAGACTTTGCTGGACCACAGGTCCTCTGGACACCGGACTTACCCGGCCTCCTCTAAGGCATTCAAATAATATTAGTAATTAAATAGCAATGCTCATTCCCCAACAGGAATGTACAACAGAGGTCCCATTGTGCCATGTGGTCCCGAGGGGTCTGGTCCCATGAGGTCTGGTACTCCAGAGTGGAGGGGGCTCCCTGATGCAGAGGGTAGGTTAAGGCCACAAAGGAAAGGGAATCTGGCAACAGCTAGACTGGTCCACCACGTTCAGGAATCTGGTTTGGCCCTTGAGGTGACCGAGTGCAGAGCATGCCAGGCCCCGAGCTGCGTGGGTTCAGATGGGCGGCGGGGACCGCGTGGTGTGGGGATGCGTGAGGGTTTACCATCTGGCTGTATGTCCATCCGACCCCGTGCCCAGTTCTGTGAGGGTTCTGGGCCAGCCAAAGAGTTCCCAGATGCATCTAGTGACATCCCCATGCCAAGACAGGGGCTGCCTTCATCAGAAGAGCTGGACAGGGCTTGGCTGCGGGGCCCTGGCAGCCCATTGGCTGTCCGGCCAGAGTCCCCGGGTGGACCACACTTGCCACCCAGAATGCTGAGGGAAGAAGAGGAGGAACTGGAGGAACAGTAGGCTGAGTCAGGAGCTGGAGGATCTGGAGCTCGAGCCAGGTCAGGGGCTGCTCCAGGGGTTTGGCTAGCAGCTGCCTCAAGGGCACGGGCATTGGCCAGGAATTCTTCTTCCAGACGACGGAACAGCTGCTGCTCTTGCTGGGGGTCAAGCTGCAGAGGTGTGCGAAACACGCTGGCTGGTGTGGCTCCCAGCTCTGGCTCAGGGCTGGAGATCCGGGGAGGTTGCCCTGCTGCAGGGCTGCGGGCTCGGGGAGCCTGGGGGGTGCTCCTGCCCGAACCCCCACCGCCCCTTCCCTTGGGCAACCATGAGTGTTGCCCATCTCGGTCTCTGTGCACCAGCAGTACAGCCTGCTCCTCACGGCTCTGGCTGCGGGCCCGACGAGTGGGGCTAGGGGCAGACAGTGGGGCTCCTCTGCCTCCGAGAGCTGCACGGGGCCGGCCCCGATCCAGACGGTCTCTGGACTGGCTACGAGGAGCAGGTGGCCGTCTCGGGGAGGCCGGGGTGCCAGTGGTTAGCCGCCGGCTGGGCCGTTCCCTCCGGGTGCCAGGGCCTGTGTCATCACTGCGGGCGCCAAGGGGCCCGCTCTGGGCTGAGGAGGCTGAGGAGTCACTGTCACCGGAGTAGCGGCGGGATCGGGGAAGAGGGGGCAGCTGATCCCGGGGCCTGAGGCAGGGGAATAAGAGAAAAGGAGTACCGATAGAGCACAGAAGGGACAAGGAAAAGGCCAGGGGGGGCAGGTAGCTCCTGAACAGACAGGAAGTGCGGCCCAGAGTCGCAAGGCAACCATCTACCCTGGGGCTTTCCAGGGAGAAGCCAGAGGCTTGGCCAAGAGAAATGTGCACAGGGCTCTCAACTCTTCCCCAGGACTCTGCCCCGCCCCCCACCAGCCAAGAAGGAAGCTGGGGGTTGGACTGGCCGCCGCCCAACCCCCAGGGCCCGCCCCAGCTGTTGTTGGTTTGGTGGGTTGCTATGGAGACGGGAAGCCAGGCCCACCCCCACCCACAGGAACTTTTCCCAGGGTGTGAGTCACTCTGGAGCACCGGCAACTCGTTATGGGCCCAGCCTGCCTCCACCCTCTCCCTCTGGGTAGCTAACTCCAGTCCTACACCTCACCTGAGTGGGGTCTCAGGCACCTCCTTTGTGCTTCGTAAACTAATGGGAGTCACTTCCGGCCGAGAGCCCCGGCGCTCATTTCCTGGGACTGGGCTACCAGGGCGGGGACTGGGGGTGGGTGATACCCTCTGGGGGGAGAAGGTTCTCGCCCTCGGCTGGGGCTGACGGTGTGCTGCAGGCGGAGGACAGGCAGGATGTGAGTGAGAAGCAAAGCCAGAAAGAGCCCTTGCCTGTCCACCCAGCCTGGCACTGACCCGTGGAAGAGCAGCGGCATGGGTCATGTTTGTCCAGGTAGTGCTCCAGTGTGTCCCAGCCGCCACCCACGCGGACCATCACGTGGCTCCTCAGCACCTGTGGGAGCCGATGTGGTCCCGTCAGTTGTTTCCCGTGGGCCGGGCCACCCACCCTCTTAGCAGCTCCTGGCTGGGGCAGAGCCCTCGCCTCTCACCCGCACGAAGATCAGCAGGCTGGAGTCTCCCACTCGGTACTTCCCCTCGGAAACCTTGATCATGGGGAACTGGTCTGGGCAGGTGCAGTGGCCCAGGATCTCCCTCACCTAAGGCCAGAGAGGAGAAGATGCTGGTCAGAGGTCAGTCCTTTCTCCTGGGCTTAACGTCAGTAGCTCCAGGGTCAGGAGGAAGTAAGTCTTTCCGGGGGAAAAGGGGGTGGAGAAGTGGGTGAAGCTTCCATGCATGGCCCTTAACTAGCTCTCTTTCCTGCCCCATCTTGTAGCCCCTCAGGCCGGGGGCGCCCTGAAGTTAGTTTTCACTCCCTTTGTCACCCTGGGAGGAGACAGGGGTGCAGGGGGCTCCAACAACTCTCGATGAGTGCTGATGTGGAAGCGAGTACCATAGACACGGTGGGGTGACACAAGTACTCACCAGCACTTCACACAGGCCACCAGTCTGGTGAGCAAACTGCATGCATGCTGCTCTGGGCCTGGAGTTGCCAGGCTGGCTCTGTGGGAGGCCCTGCCCGCCTCCCTGCCCACAGCGGCGCCAGAGGAAATGAGCAGGTGGAGCCTTGAGTGACCCAGGCCCAGGCTGGGGGTAGGGTGCGTGCCTCTGCCTATGGCTCTCCAGCTGCCTGCCTCCTGGGCAGGCACATCTTAGTCTAATCTCCTGATAAGAAAGAAACTCTAGACTGGGCTGCAGGGGAGGAAGGGACACTTAGGGCCTGGGGCAGTGGGAGGGAGCTGAGGGCCTGGCTTGGCACCTCCTAGGTTCCAGGCAGGACTCTTGCAGCTCCACCAGGGTTTTCTGTTCCCACCACCAGCAGCCACTGGGCAAAGCTTCCCAGAAGTGTGCTGGGGCTTGTGGGTGCTCTCAGGCACTCTGAGTGTCTGATATGCTAGGCACCTCACCCAGGCCGTTGTGCACATTGAGCCAAGTGCAGCACCCACTGGGCTTGGGGTAGTGGATCTATCTGTCCAACACCTTGCAGGGAGGACATAGCAAAGATGCCCAAGTAAAGGGCCCCCGCAGAGGGCCTGCACAGCACTTAGGAGGTGCACATACAGCACACGAAGAGACACGATGCTATGCACAAGCCAGGGTTCTGTCCCAGGACCGGATGGGCTGGCTATGTGACCTCAACCAACACCTCCCCTGGCCTACCTGCTTCCTTAGGGCCAAGATATATATACATTTGGCACTCAACATGTGCACCCTTCCTGTGTATACCCAGCAGATACTGTACCAGGGTGTGCTGCAGGAGGGTCAGAGATAAGTTATGGGCACTGATGCTGCCACACAGGGAAAGTGATCAGGAGCCTCCTAGGGTGAGCATCTGAGGACTCACCAGCTCATCAAGGTTGCGCAGGTCGCTGGGTGTCATTCGGGGTCCGCGGGCAGGAGCCCCTGGTGCAGTGGTGGTTTCAGTGCCTTCCTCCGTGGCACTGGGGACATTGGGAGCTGGGGGTACAGCACGTAGCTCCTGCTCGATCTCCTGCTCAAACTGCACAAGGCGGGGGGCCAGCAGGCCCAGGCGGGCCCCACGTCTCGCCACCTCTAGCAAGCACAGAACCACACTCTTCTCATTCTTACGCAGCACCAGGTCCTCAGTCTCAAACATGAGCACCTCAGGCACACCCAGCTCCGTGCGGCACCAGCCAATGAAGGTGGCTACGTTGTCCCGGGCCATGAAGGAGCCAGGTGCCACACTGTGTGCCTGAAAGGCCACACCTCGTGTTGGGCGGGCGGCAGCCTGAGCGCGGGCAGCATCAGTGACAGCGTTGGCATGCTGGCACAGGGTTGTGCCTGTGGCCAGCCCTGTCAGGAAGCCATCGCCACCACCAGGCAGACCCAGGCCATACAAGGCATTGAGCCATTCGGCCAGGTCTTCCTTCATGGCCTCCACGTAGGCCTCACTCGAGCGGAATGGCCGCACGCTCTTGGCTGCTGAGCCTGCGATGCCAGCTACTGGGTCCGCCATGCCCGGGGCCAGCCGAGTCACTGTGGGCAAGGACACAGGTCAGGGTTGTCGTGAGGACAAAGGGAACAGTCCAGGCGACTGGGACTGGCCTGTCCCTGAGGCCACATGCCTGGTTTAAGTGCAGTCTGAGAAAGTCTCTAGGCCTCAGTTTCCTCACCTGTGGAATGGTACAGTAAGTAATGTTACCTGCCTCAAGCGATTCAGTGAGATAAACATTTATACATAACTGTGTGTTTGCTGTTTGTTTGGTTCTTGGGGTGGGGCTGGGACAGGCTGAAGCCTCCCTTTCAGGCAGGCTGATGACTATCATAAAAGAGGGGACTTCCACACAAGTCAAAGACCTAGGCTTGGTAGCACGTATGTGGGCTCAGCTATACCAAGCATTTGGTGAACTCTTAATTTCAACTTCAATGATAATGAAATAAAAGGTATTGTTTATAATAA